CAAATGTCAAAATAGCTAAAAATACGATTTTTTTCCTTTTTATACAAATTAACTATTTTCCTATAAGTGAAAAAAATGATTGAATTATGTTGTCAAAAGTTTTATTAAAAGTAAAACATATTTGTAATGTAGTAGTTATCAGTGAAAAACCGGTATGAATAACGATAAAATGAATGTTATTGGTCATGGTACTGTCCTACTGTCCTATCCTCCTTTTTTTTTTTAATTATATATGGTACCACAGAAGAAAAAAAAAAGACTAAAAATAAGAGAACTTAATTTAAAATTACGCATAATCAAAATTTAAAGACTGAATAAGAATTTGATTTCACACACACGTCACTTCACCAAAATAATGAGAAAAAAAAAAGACAACACAACAAAACAATAATGCCGACATTTTTTAAACAAACCTTTTGAACTTTTTACACACTGACTAACTGAATCAATTATTAATTTTTTTGAAAGTTTTTAGACTTCATTATTATTACATATTGAAATCTAAAAACAGAATTCTTTTTAGTAAATAATGTTTTTTTTTTGTTTTGCATGTTTTCTCCTTTTTGGGTGTATTGTAGAGAGATCAAGAAGTAGACGACACATTCCTCGTAGAAATAAACTTGAATGTTATTGTTTATGAAACAGTGAAATATTGCAATGAATAAAGCTTTTAAAGTGAAAGGGTTTTAAGATCACAAAAAGAAAGCAACCGCACAATATCCCAGAAGAAGTCAAACATACCAGATGAGAGCAAACGACAACAAAAACTTTGAACATGATAGAGATGATTGCACAAATAGGCAAAATTTGAATTAACGAGAAAGAAAAGTAGCCTATTCGGAGAATTTTAAAATTGATTAAAAAAATTAATTATTTAAAGATATTGTTTCTCTAACCAGAATTGTAAGTAATTTTTGGTAATATGAAATATTGTAAAAAAAAAAATAAATAAACCACGATAATTTATGTAATAATAAACAATAAGCAAGCAGTCTTTTAAATTTGTTTGCATCTATTATTGCAATGAATCGTTTATTACAGAACAAATCCAATCTTAAATGTAGAAAAATAAAAATATTCCATCAGTCTGTATCTAATTTTAAAAATTAGATTTTTTTTTTTTGATGAAGCATTTATTTATTTTTTAAGTAAGATTCATAGAGTTTTCTTACGGACTAACAATTCACTTTATTCAATTTATTTAGTTTTTAGTTGTTACTTGGTTTTCTAGTATGCGACGTTTGCTTTCGTTTTATTAAAAAACAACACTTAGTTTTTTCACCATGTTTTTCCTAAAATATATCTTCCCATAAAGTACAAAAAATACAATGAAGTTTTATGATATTTTCCATTAATTCCAGGATAATTCAAAAACTTATTATCTTCTTTCTTTTCTTTTTTGCCCTGTTTTTAGGCATAAGAGATCTTTTGTCCTTGTGAGAAATTCGTTTGAATCTTGAAATTAAAATAAAATACTACCAAAAGTTTGAAATATAGCAATATATCATATTCACAACACAGAAAAAAATGAAATATTTTTTAATAGCAGCATTAAAATTATAAGAGAAAAAAAAAACAAAAAAAAAAAAACAAATCCAAAATTTAAAAATTTTATGAAATATTTTATTTTAATTTTTTAAGAGAGGCAACAAAAACAGACAAGAGAGACATTATGCCACAGACATCAGTTTTTTTTTTGGGGGGGGGGTGTATCAAACAAATTTTACAACTTAAATTAAAAATCACTCAATATTTTAAATTACTAAAAAAAAAAAAAAAAAAACTATAACCGATAAGTTCTAGTAAAAAATTAAGATAGTCAATAGTGGTGCGATCTGTATCTTTTACTAGCTGAGAAATAATTATTAATCATTATTTGTCATTTTTTTTGGTTTAGTTTTACTTTTAATTTACTTACTATTTATACTTTTATATCCCACGTACTAGTAACACAAGACATCAAGTGATGGAATCTGTACACATACAAGGCGGGCAAAAAGTGGGGGAACCAATTATAAACCTGATAAATTAAAATACGAGCACCCATTTTAGAGTACGCAAAGGACTAGGTGCGAATGAATAAAGAAAAATATAATCCACTGAAGAAGATTAAACTATCAGACCTAAACAACAATCATAATCTAAGACACATATCTTATAGGCAAATGTAGCAAAAATAATTTAAAATAATAGTGAATTCGCAGTCTAAAATCTTTAAAAGTAGTACATTCATGTGTAGTCAACGAACACAAGTTAGTCAAACACTAAAGGTGTATTAAAAAAGTGGGGGATCATTTTATAAAGATAAGACAGTAAAATACAGATCCCCCAGTTTGTGACCCATTCGCATTCTATCAACTATTTCAAATCAGAGTAGCTATGTGGTCGATATTGAAGAGAAATAAACTTAGTTAATTGCAATATTACGAGCTGTAAATGAATCCAAAAGATAGTTGAATGCCTGAAGTATATTTAAAAAATCGTAATGGGATCTCGGATGATGTAAAAAAAATAAACTTACCGATGACATCTTTAAGTTCGAAGGCATCTTTCGTGTTGGGCCACTTATCAGCCATGTTTGTGTGACCTTGACACACGCGCACTCAATCAGTGAAATGTTAGCTGTGCGTTGAAAAATGCCACAAAACTACTTTTGCCTGTCACTTCTTTCAAAAAAAAAAAGAAAGAAAGAAATGTCTACCGGTAACTAAGTGGGGGGGAAAAAGCACTCCCGACTAAGGCAGACAGCATTGTGAATTAAATGAGAATAATTCCTAGGGTACTATACGGAAGACAGCAACAACGAAAACAGGGAATGATAGTGAGTGGGCAGTTCAAATGAGGGCGCCACTGCCGCCGGCCGACATTTCAATGGGCCTTTTCTCTTAATACAAACAAAATGACAGCATTGTTTTCTTTTTTACTTCGATTTATTTATCTGTATAAATTTAGAATTATAGTGCTAGAGAGAATCAGTATATTCCTCTCTAGTAGTATTCTCTAAGGAGCTAAGTGTTTTCTAAACGAAACGCTAACCTTTCTTTTATAAAAAAAACGTAAAAGGAGAAGATATATTTTCATACAAGGGATAAAGTTTTTACGCTAATTCATTAAGCGAGTGACATTGTTTATATTTTCTTAATATTTTATGCTATAACTTTATCAGGCAAAATAGAAATCGTTAACTGAACTTGAACAATGCAGGTTATTTCACGTTTACTTTTAGTTTTAAAAACATGATTATTGTTGCTGCTACTACTACTATTAATAATGTACATTTAAATTTCAATTATCTGAAATTGTATAGAAAAATAAAATAGATACGTTAACTTTCAGCAAAATATGCAATTTATCAATAATTTTTCATTAAAAAAAATTATTGTTACTTTTATGAGCAATTAATATGCACACATACTCACAAATACTTTCTGTTCAAACTAGAAGAAATAAAATAGTTTTTAATTTTTATTTAACAAAAATTTATTCGATAAGTGTTAGTTAACAGCTAATTCTAGACTTGAAGATTTAATTAGTGAATAAAATTTTAGAGTTCAGGCGGAGACATTTAGGAGTATAGAGTTGAAGTAGACTTTGTCTTTAAGGAACTGGAAATCCAATCCTAAACAAAAAAACAAGGGATGAAACCTCTACTGAGTAGAGTCTACTCCTGTTCAAAAGACCGTGCAGGAGTATCAATTTAACTGAACAAAAGGTAAACCTATCTACTACTTAAAAATAATTTAAAGAACATAAATTAGTAATTTAATTAGTTAATTTGTTTTAGTTTAAAATCTAGTTTCTATTTAACGTTTTGTGTTGAATTTGATTAAATTTTACAAAAGTAAAATTTTTATTCAATGCATTGAAAAATTTGTATTTCATATACCTGTTACTTAAAGATTAATGCTATCAGCATTTTAAGTTAAATGTTTTTAGAAATAATTAAACATAACATTCATTTATGATTGTACTGCACTGACGATCATTTTGATTATAATGATGATAATTGTTTATTGATTGTTATTCTGATGAGTAAAATTTTATAAGAATGATGAGAATGTGATATGTAAACTCTCTCTATAAAGACTAGTGGTGGTTAAATGACAAAATGGAAACAAATTTGTTATGCATTCTGTAGTTTTTGTTTGAAGAAGTCCTTTCAAAGGATGAAATGCATAACAGGGCTTTATTTCAATTTTGTCATTCAATTATTCACCAATAATAATGTTGATGAAGATTAATAATAATAACAGATCAATAGAAGTTTAGTAATATATAAAAAAATAAATAACCATACCATATAAGAAATAATTATTTCTACTTTGAAAACATCTTGAAATTTTGTTAATGGGTTAAGAAAGTGAGATACATTATTTTTCTAATTTCAGGTATATGTCTATTTTCTTTGGAGGTACAGAAAATTTAAAATTCGTACAAATATAGAAATATAATGTTTTTAACATAGTTTAATATGGGAGAATGATATATAAACTTTATATAAAACTAATTTATAGATTCCTGTAGGGATTTCATTGTTATAGTGTGAATAGGGATAGCATAGTGAATAGCAATGAAATTCCAAATAATTATTGTTTCTATTTAAGAGCACTTAGAATTTTTAGCCCTCAGTATGGCACAATAAAAAGAAATATATTGAAAATACTTTTAAACTCCTCCAATACCCTAATCATCTCATATTTAATTCTTGTTTTTTTTTTGTGATTGATTTGTTTTTTATGGATTACCAACCTTTTGAAACTTATTTAAAACCAGAAAATATTTTTAGATTTTAAGAAATTTTTTTTGGATAATAATGATTTTTACTGATATAAATTCTACTTATTGACACATAGTTAGGTGAGGGAGAAGAGGTAGATTCATACCTTTCCCAATGGTATTTGTGCATAAGAGAATATAAGGAACCTGACTGGAATTCAAACTCAGCTATCTGATTTCTCATCCAGAGTTGTTATCCTTTACACCACTCGCACATCCAACTTTACACCACCTGGTATTCACAAGTAGTAACCCATCTAGGTACTGACCTAGCATGACATTGCTTAACTTTAGTGATCAGACGATAAGCAGTGTTTCAATGTGATATGGCCATAAGCCTATTTAATGATTATCATAAAGATCATGAAATTCATAAAATTAGAAAAATAAATAATATAAATAGCCTTGATAAAACTAAACACATAATACTACCTACTAACTCAATAACAACTGCAATTGAATTTATCTAAATTTAATATAAGATTTGCTATAACTCCTTCTAAAACAATATAAAACAAAATAATAGCAGGGGCAACTGAAAGAATTGCCACAAGAAATATATAGGTGAAACATCTAGAAATTTAAATAAAAGAATATATGAACACAAAACATTATACTCAATGCATTAGTCGTTTATTGTAATAAGTCTAACCATAATTTTAACTTAAGGGATGCATTTTTAATTAAAAAAAGAAAATAATTTATTAAGGTAAAAATGTATAGAAAGTGTGCTAATTTCTGAATCTTCCATGGTAAATTTATGTCCAGGATCATACAGCATTTTGCCTTTATTAAAAAAACTACTACTATTATAATGTGGTATTATTAAAAGCAACAGTGATAAAAAAAAAAAAAAAAAGAAAGCTAAATGAGGTTGAAAATTTAAAGTTAAGCTTCAGCATTTCTCTCAATGTATAACTATGACTGACATTTGTTATACTTTTTCCTTCCCTTATACACATATGATTCCATCAGTAAAACATTATTTAGACTGAAGAAGACCTTTTGTTGAAAAAAATTCATTACATAGGATTTTTTTCTTTTTGTCATTCAATTACACATCATAGGTTAATATCTTTAGGTTTATATATGGTTTTATTTCTTTCAATTGATCAATCTTTAAAGTACTTTATTGTGACAATTCTTGTTGAGGATTATCATGTTAAAAAGTCAATAATTATTCACTTCATTTAATTATTTTATTTTAAAAAGTTTATAATGCATTATGAATACCTGTTCATAAAAAACTTCCATATTGAAATGGGCTGAATGTCTTAACTCAAATGTAAATAAATACATTTGCATTAGCGGAAACTTTGGGTTCATGCCTTAATCCTAGGCATTAGTAAAAATAATTTAGTAAAAATGTTGTTAGTTTTTCAAAATTATTAAATTCAAGAACACTGATATATTTTGCCTTGATAAAATTCATCAGAAAATTAAATGCATTGCCTAAGGTAAGTTATACTTTTGTCTTTATATATATATATATATATATATATATAAAATAATAAATACAGAATCCTTAAAAATCCATTGTCAGACCTGGCCAAATGGATTTTTAATGACTCTGTATTCATTATTATATTGCTCAGTTCTTACATTGAGCCCTCTTTGGATTTATATCTTCCTTGGAACTATCCCTACTAATCTAATCATACATATATTTATATATATATATATATATATATATATATATATATATATATATATATATATATCAATCTATTGCTATGTGTTCATTATCTTGTCATCCTCTCAGACTCCAATCCATATTTGATCTGCATTTGATCTTTAATTCATATATATATATTTGCATTTGATCTTTAATTCATATATATATATATATTCAGAATCGATGAATTACTTAATATATATATATATATATATAATAAAAAGGCTTAAACACTAATATTCCATGGTTGTAATTTATTACATTAGAATTGTACTGACAATCCAATTCATCAGACCTACAAATTCAAAAAGAAATGAGAAAAAGTAACTCCAGGAATAAAAAATAAAATTTAGTGAGAGTGTATGTATGAGAGTGGGGGGATGAATGTAAGAAATAAATGAAAGCTTTGGGGAGAGGTAACCACTAATATTATTAATATATTGCTCCTTATTGTAATAAGTTGAGCTATCTTTGGTATACTTCCAGTTGAACTACTCTTATTCCAATCTATTCACATGGAGATGGAAAAATTTACTCCGGATTATTCCTTAAAAAACATTCCGTACCCTTCATTGCATCTTTTCTCTGTCTGTCTTACAGATAAAATTATTGACCTTATTAAATGAATGAGGTGGAAAACATTTTTCTCCCGAAATCCCAAAAATGACCATGAAACATATAACCTGAAATCCCAGAAAACGCCACCGTGTAACAAGCTACTTGAACTGTTTGAAGGTGATTTGCTTAATTTAATTAAAAAGAGTAAGGTAAAAAATTATTCAAACTACTTCCAAGCTAAAATTGGTAAAGACATTAAAAACATTAAAAAAACTCCAATAAATTATGCATTAAAGCTGACAAATCCAAAAATATCTATAAAATGAAACCCTCTAAATATGACAAACTTGTCACTGACAAAATTACCAGCTCTTATAAAAAAGACAAAGACAATAGAACCTTATTCTCTATCAATGAAAACATCTGCAAATTTGCTAAAAATGTGGAGTTGCTGACAGAATGGGCAAATTTAATATGAAAGATACATACATTCTCAAACAAAAATCAAACATCATAAACCGAACTTTATCAATAGCTTATAGTCCCATCTAATTAATCCCTCTAAATCTGAATTGGGGTTAATTTCTAAGAGTATTCTTAAGAAAATAACAGCATGTGTCCTGGATAAATATCCAGTCAACCTTTGGAAAGACTCGGCTGAGACGATTAAATGGTTCCGAAAGATCCCCAATAAAAGAAGAGCCACTTTCATCCAATTTGACATCTTGGATTTTTACCCTTCTATTTTGGAGGAACTATTAATTAACAGCCTTAATTTCACTAAAGGATATACCGAAATAATGGAAAATGATCTGGACATTATTTTAGCGTCAAGAAGATCAATACTTACATACAATGACGCTACTTGGGTGAAGAAGAATAATGAAAGTTTTGATGTACCTATGGGAGCTTTCAACTTTGCCCAAATTGCAGATTTAGTAGGTATATATATTTTAGACACCTTAAGTAGAGTAATTAGCCTTAATCAAGTTGGAATTTATAGAGATAACAGCCTAATCATTGTCCCTAATAGCAATAGTCCCTTGACTTCCAGCTTACATAAGAGGATAATTAGGGCATTAAGATTGAAATCTTCCAACCTGAAAGTAGTCAACTTTTTAGATATCACCCTCAACCTCTTTAATGATACCTGTAAACCCTTCCATAAAGTCGATCAGACACCCCTTACATCAATGTCCACTCTAACCACCCTAAATCTGTAATATATCACATCCCCAGAACTGTTAATATGAGAATAAACAGGCTATCTTCTAGCCAAAAAAATCTTTAACGATAATAAATTTATATACAACCAGGCCCTCAAGAATAGTGGTTTTAGACAAGAATTAAGCTATAATGAAGAACTAGAAAATCATAATAATAATAGACATAAAAATAGAAAGAGGAAGGTAATATGGTTTAACCCACCGTATTGCAGGCTTTCTAAAATTGATATAGGAAGTTTCTTCCTAAGATTAATAGATAAACACTTTCATAGTAAACATCCACTATATAAAATTTTCAATAGGAAGACACTCGATCTAGTAGCCCCACCTGCAATTGTAGGAGTAAAGACAGTTGTCCAATCGGGGGAAAATGTATGTATGAGAATGTGGTATATGAGGCAACAATCTTCCCTGAGGAAAATATCAACCAGAAAAAAAGATATATAGGTATATCTGCTGGTGATTGGAAGCAGCATCTATACAACCATAAACACTCTTTTAAATATCGATACCTCAAAAATCAAACTTCCTTATCCAAACACTTCTAGGTTCTGGTGGATAACGGACTGACCCCACATTTCAAATGGAGATTCTTATCAAGAGCTAGAACCCCTAATAACTTCCGCAATCACTGTGATCTATGCATTATAGAAAAAAATTTTATTATTCAAAATAAAAATCAAGATGATTTACTAAATCTTTGTAGTGAGATCATTTCCAAATGTAGACATAAAAACGATTTAAAACATGAACATGGTTTTATACTGTGTTGTCACCTGTAACAGTTCCATCTTGAATCACTAACATCGAACATGACATTTAAATGGAATGACTAGTATGATTATCTATATGTATCGTCGTGTATGTTTATGTGATGCTCTCTATATATCTTTTGATCATTTAATTTGGGTTAGCAAACTTTATTCATGTGTTGATATATGTGTATGTAGGTGGGTATGTAGGTAAAAGTTTCCCTAGATAACTGATATACAGAATCTGATAGTTTTCTGATATTTGTATACCTAGGTATATATGTAAACTTAAGAGATAGATATGTGTTAATCACTCTGGGTTTTAATATTGTTAACATTTTCTTCCTCAGTGTTCTTTAAGTACAAATTAATTTAATTCCGCCAATCTATTTTTATATGTTAAATGTATATATGGATGGATGTGGGTTTTTTAATTTTTAGAAATTTTTACCTTTTACCTTTTAATGTATGTATATATATGTGTATATATGTGTACATGTTTGTATGTATATATGTATATATATATATATATATATATATATATATATATATGTGTGTGTGTGTGTTTATGTGTGTATATTTAGGTATGTATTTATACATATGTATATAGGTGTATATATGTGTATGTGTATATATATATAGGTATATATGTATGTATGTGTATATGTGTAGTGAGATGGATAGATAGATACGTTGTATATTTGTTTAGATGAGTGCGTGTATGTAAATGTATGGAGGTGTGTAAGGTTTTATGTATATATGTTAATGTGCACGTATGTGTATGTCTGTATGTGTGTAGATGTATATATACGCAGGAGTGGATGTGTATGGATATATATATATATATATATATATATATATATATATATATATATATATATATATGTGTACATGCATATATGTTTGTATGTACGTGTAAATATAAATATGTTGTGTATGTGTATGTGTTTGGGGGCATAGAAATAGTGGGTCCTTGCTAGATTCAATATTCATTATTTTTTTATATGTTTATATTAAATTTGTAACCTGTAATTGATATTACTTTTGTCAAATTTTCTTGATTGCACTGCAGCTCTTTTATAAATGCCCTTTGGTCTTAGTTGCCCCCCCCCCCAACTTCCAAC